ACTAAAAAATTTAGAGGGTGTCGTGAGAGAGAAAGAATCACTTTTGTAAATAACTGACACCCTAATGAATATGTAGATATGTTTCAGTTATATTTTAGATGGTACCTACAATATAGGAAGTCTATATAGTGGTACGACTTTGGTAACTGGTTTCCTTAATCGTACCATTTGCAAGTTTTTTGAAAAATTTAAATTTTTGTTGAAATTATTTTAACATTCCATTTCCCTAATAATTTTAAAGATAAATGGCCTTTTTCATTTCCATAGATACCTACCTTAGACTCTCTGTTCTAGATCTAGGTGACCAGTCTTTGCTGCGGCTACTAGACCTCAGTCGGTTGGGTCTGAGCGACTTTTTCGTCTTCCACGTTTGGAAGTGGTGTTTCAGGGTGTTCTGCACTTCGGCGTTCATGAAACAGTAAAACAGGGCCACCATGAATCCCTGAAACAAAGGATATATTGTTAAAAATACCATACGATCGAAAAAACGGCATCAAAGACGACTGGGAATGATAAAATAAGCTTTAAATGGCATCCTCGGTATTTTGTTACTTTATTCGATAGAAAACGACACTCTGAATAGAATGACATATCATATGTCAACTTTTGACATTTTCAAATATGGTTTATTTAAAATCGCAACATGCGATTCATAACTTTGAATAAGAAGACTAAGGAAGGAGCATATCAAAAATCTTAGGTACACCGCGATGGGCCTCAAATATGGCCGACTTAAATTCCGGTTTATCAGTGTCGTTCTAATTTTATTTAAAAAATGTAAAACTATGATGTAGGCTAGACGTGGGGTAGACTCAATAATTTGTTGTTTTATTTTACGTTGTGAATAAATGTTGGTAGTTATTAAAATTGTTATAAAAATATATAATTCTAATAAAAATAGATAAGTTATAATAAGTATTTATTAACACAAACATCCGATACGCTACTGAAGCAAGTAAGTCAAATTAACGTATATAAATTCTTTGACATCTAATCTTTGACAAGTAATAAATAAAAGCTAAAATGCAAGAAAAATATATAATTTAGTTAATTTAAGTGAATTTCATAAATGATCGGTTTACTACACGTATCTATATTATATAGTCACTTATTAGCGAAAAGTTGTTCCATTATTTCACTCAATTTTTGCCGAGATCTACCGCACGCTACACAACCAATTATTTTAGAGTCTTTTTCAATAAATCGCGATAGTGTCACTGTTAATTTAAGTTCTGCCACAATTTCCATCTTGATTTACTACCTTTATACAACTATCAGTAGTAGAATAAATAATAAATAACATAAAATAAGCTCCGTAAAGACTGACAAATCCACAAAATTTCAAATCAAATTCAAATGTGTCAAATGAATCGTCAAACAGAACTGTCAAGGATCCCCACCCTAGAGAGCTTTTATGGTGGCTTTTCCGCCCACCATGCATGAATACATGGATAGCATTATGGTCCTTCCTTAGTCTTCTTATTCAAAGATTCATAACGACAATTTGCCTCGAAATACCAAGTGTGTGGTACCAAATTATTAGTAAAAAAAAAGCTTTGTCCAAATATGCTAATAAGCCACCCTCGTTCCATTTGAAAAAATTGAGATATGATTAAAAATGCGATTTGGGCATCTTTTAACCAACATTGTCAGATTGAATACATGTAAAACAGAATGGTAATTTTTTGTTGCATAAATAATGCTGTCTTTTTTAATTTTATATATTAGCATATAGAGATCGACTAACATACCAAATCTCGTTTGTATCTCAAAAAATAAAAAAGTTATTGAGGTGAGCCACTTTTGAGACGCACCCGGTACTTTATCTTTTTTCGTTTTATTTTCAAGAAAGTGGAATTTTCCACCATTTCTGCTATGCGTTTCGCTTTCCTCTTATATCCTATTCAAAAATACAAATTAAGTAGAAAAAACCGAATGGCACAATACTGCTTTTAACCCCTTTCAAAGCGACAATGAACCGATGTTCCGCATCCAGGGCGCCCTTTACGAAAAGACGTCTGGAGAATTGCATATAAATGGTGGAATAAAAGCCATAAATAGAAGCGAACTATTTCAAAAAGACAAAGTTCGCCGGTTGAACGGTATTTTTTTAATGTTATGCGATAGTCAAAGAGTACATACCTTTTAACTTTTTGCAGAGGAAAAATAGTAGGTATATATGTTATTTCAAAGTTGCCCATGGGCATTTTAAAATGGGAATTGTACAGGGTGGCGCCTCTCATACGCCGCGGAGGCTTCAAGGAGAATGACAGTTTTTGTGAGCATATATAGGTTAATTCAGAGCACTTTTTAAAAATATAGATAGTTCTACAGGGTGTCCCAAAAAAAGTTACATATCAAAGTTGTGTTTTTTGTAATGAAACACCCTCTATATTAATTGATTTTTGGATTCTGGGAGAAAAATAAAGGTCAGTTTTATAAGAGAAGTATATGACTAAAATATAAGGTTTTTGACATATTTAATATTTTCTAGAAATAAAGACCAATTTTTAAATTACAATAAAAGCTACCTAAACTGGAATTTACCCTATGTATAGCCTGATATGTAGTTAAATTAACTATTGTACTTTAAATCAAATTAAAACTTGATCCAAAAAGTTATACAGGGTGAGACAAAATTAATATTGAACATTGGTCGCCTTTTAAAGCATGTTACTCTTTTTTTTTAAATGGAACACCCAGTATATTATTCCGATATTCAATTCATTTCTCTTCAAATATTATTAAGGTTGTCTACCCCTCAAACAAAGATTTTCCTAGATATTTTCATTTACATGATTTGATCTGAGTAGATCTTTATTATTTTATAAAATCTAGGTGCATGGCTATGATATTCTTTGGTAGAACTCCACATATGTCTTTTAAAATGAAAAGATCATTTTGAAAAGACAATTATTTTATGCAGTTAACAGGAAAGGAAGCATTTAGAGCATTTTATTTCATCTAGCTAATTGTTGTCACATAATTATAGTGTTATATCTAGTTTTAACTCTGTAATAATTAAAATATGTTTTAGACGTGTATTTTTTTTATTACCGTTGAGGATTTTACTCTACAATCTTTAATTTTTGTTAAATTAACAAAAAGTGTATCACACAGCCACCTAGATTTTTTCAAATAATAAAGATCTATTGACGCAAATTCATAAAAATTAAAATATCTAGGAAAATCTTCGTCTGAGGGGTAGGCAACCTTAATAATATTTTGAAGATATCTAAACAGACTAATGTGCCATATTAATTTTGTCTCACCCTGTATAACTTTTCTGGTCAAATTTCAATTTGGTTTAACATACAATGGTTACTGTAATTAATTATCAGGCTATACAAGGTCAGATAAAATTTAGGTAGCTGTTATCGAAATTTAAAATTTACTCTTCATTTTCACAAAATGTAAAATACGTCAAAATCGTTAGTTTTTAGGTATATGCTTCTTTAATAAAACTCACCTTTATTTTTTTCATAGAATCCGAAAATTAATTAATATATAGGGTGTTCCATTAGAAAAATCACAACTTTGATGTGTAACTTTTTTTGGGGACACCCTATATAATTCTATATATTTTTATAAAATGCTTTCAGTTAACCTACATATGCTGCCGAAATTTTATTTCGATATAAAATACCGTTCTCCTTGGAGCTTCTGCGGCGTATGAGAGGCGTCACCCTGTACATTCTGATAGCTAATTATTATTTATCAGAATACTAAACGTCAAAATATATCTATACGAATTTCAAAAGGTTATTAGTAATATTATACGACCGAAAAAAAAACAGCATCAAAGATAGCTGGGGAATAAGAATTCATGATAATTTTAGGGAGGTGAAGTCCTAGATGTCATTTACCTGGAAATATACAGGGAAATTCAGGCTTCCGAAAAAAGATATATTAGGTTTTTGGTTTGCGAAATTCATTTAATTATTTTACATATTATGGTAATGGTAACGCACACTTTGAAAATATTTTTGTCAAAACACAGGGTGATTCAAACATATTTTCAAACCAAAGTTGTTGTATATTGTATATTTTTATATGAAATACTATATATTTTTAGCTCAGTGGATTTATCACTAAATTTCCGTTCCAACAATACCACAATTTCTTATACTCTACCGAATGGTTTTAGAAATATAACCGTTTTTAAACTAAAATTTACTGCTTATTTAAAGCCCTCTTAAAATTCGAAATTCGAAGAACGATATTTGTGTCATTTGTTCCGCAAACAGTCATTTTCAAATTTCTAGTTAAAGGACAGTAGATCGATTATTGAGATAGAATGAGAGTCAATTATGAAGTGCCACATCCAATCAACTATTGAAAAAATTACCCAGACCGGTCAGTGTCATTCATTATGGATGGTATTGTAACATCCATATAAATCGATGTAATTATTGGGATCCTTGTATAGTTTGTCATTTAAATTAACAATTATTTATCACTGTAGCCGCAAAATTTGTAATATAAGACATAATATGCAGAATTTTCAAAGATATTTAGCATGATACCTGTTGGCTTTCCTATTGGAGGTAGTAAAAACCTTTAAATATAGGACTTGTAGATAACGTTTTACCTGAACCGCCAGAAAGTGAAATAAAATTAAAAGAAAGACGATCAGGAAGTTAAGAAAAATTTATAACATCACTTTTTTAATAGAACACAGAAGAATTGTGCTCTCCTTTCTTGAAGTATAATTTATCACACAGTCTCAGGAGAAAAATCAAATCAATTTTTTGATTTGAAAAAAAGGCCATTCACAAGTTTAAATTGCAAACTTGATCATGTTTCAAATTATTAGTTCTGCAGTGTTGTTTGAACCGGTCCAATAAACATTAGTTTTTGATTCACCCTCGTATATTATAAATTTGTTATTTTTGTTTTGTGTTATTTGTTGCTCATTAAAATGCGCACCGATAAATAAATAAATATAAGTTACTAACAAAGTACAATATGGTAATCAAACTTTTCAATAATTATCACATTGAAACTGGCGATAAAAATGCTTTAAATATCCATATAATTGTTTCAACTTTCCAATAGGAAACCTATTACAAAATTGCTTCAAAAACAAGTAAGTAAAAATAAATGTAATATTTTGTTGAATAAATTATTACTCGAAAACATTAAAATAAACTAATATAAATAATTTTAAAATATATAATAAAGGTAACTGTTTCTGTAATTATAATAATTAATTATAATCAGATTTATAAAACATATCGTCTTCACAAAATATTTTTACTGATATTCATTCTGTTTCTAGCTTAAAAATGGTACTGTCTTTAAAAATCCTTCTTCCTGTATCTGTAGCCGTATTTGTTCTGTTAATAATACAGGGTAGATCAAGTATTGTATGTCCGCCGGATTACTGCAAGAATGTAACGTGTAGAGTCAATGAAACTTCATGTAAAGAAGGATACCATTTGCTACCGACTTTTTGTGGTTGTTGCTATCACTGTGTGGAAGACATACGTAAGTATTGCCACAGATTACAATACCATATAAAATGTCTTTTAGAAAAATATTGTCTCTAATGTTGAAATTCTACCTTCAGTCTTGTATGTATGGTATGAAGAACAGTATTATTGGAAGTTATAAAATATAAATTATGTAGACGACTAGTATATTTGGATTCTTTATAGATGATATACGTTTGTTTAATGTTTATTACTTTGATCATATAGTAATGTTTTATTATATTATTTATGTTTTTTTTTCAGCTGAAAACCGATCATGCTTTGACTGGGGATTTCTAACGTTTCCAACGAATACACAATGTGCTAAAGGTTTAGTGTGTTGCAACGCCACAATTTGTTTAAAACCACAAAATTGTAAAAAATGAATTAAAAATATATATATTATATAATATACATGATAGAATAAAATACAAAAGACATATTACCTATATGAATTGAAAATGAATAATTATGCATCCCCTCGATTTGACTGAAATCAGATAATTGTTGAAAATTTTACAAAAATTACACTGGTCGACAAGGTTTTTTCTAACATGAACCAGAACAGCGTTTTTATGTATATTTTTGTTGTCTAATTACATAAATATTTGCTAAATGGACCCACCACATTTTTATTTAGCTACTTGTATACGGGCAGTACGACCCTTATCGGTATTCTTAAAAAGACCTTTTTTTAAAGAAGATTTTCTCAAACTAACCATCCCAGAGCAATAAATTTAATAAGTTGAATAAACGAGACCGTACATAACTACAAAATCGTTAGTTTATATTAGTCTGTCATTTGTACAGAACGACAAGACAAGACAAGACAAGACAAGACAAGAGACAAGAGACAAGAGACAAGAGACAAGAGACAAGAGACAAGAGACGAGAGACGAGAGACGAGAGACGAGAGACGAGAGACGAGAGACGAGAGACGAGAGACGAGAGACGAGAGACGAGAGACGAGAGACAAGAGACAAGAGACAAGAGACAAGAGACAAGAGACAAGAGACAAGAGACAAGAGACAAGAGACAAGAGACAAAAGGCAAAAGGCAAAAGGCAAAAGGCAAAAGACAAAAGACAAAAGACAAAAGACAAAAGACAAAATGTCATCGATTGTCATTTCCAAGCCAAATGGACGCCGTTTTTATTTCGATCATACGGTGTATTAAAATAAAGTGAAATGAAAAATATATTTTTAAAAATGTATCAATTATTCAAATCGTAATAAAGTTATTATCCAGAAATTTATTGTTTATTTGTTCCTTTTCATAAAATGTTAATAATAATAAAACTCATAGAAGTGTTTCCAGAGTCCAAATATTTGCACTTATTTAAGACCCACTCTATATATATGTACCTAAACAATAAAATAAAATTATTTGATTCTAGCAATTTCTGGTCTAGCCCAACAGGAATTTTCTTATAAAGTCCTACCCTGTATATTTTTACTGTTTTGAAACAAAAATTCTACCAATGCATTGAGGCAGCAATAATTGTTCAGGTTTTACCCATATTTTGTACTTCCGATAATTCAAGTCAAACTGACAACGTTTTTAAAATTTGCTTTTGATAAAAAAAATAGTATAAAAGTCAACAACATATGGGTTATCCACCAATCTTTTGTATGTGTAAATTAAGCAGGTAACCGTCTTTGGACTCTACTTAGTGGTGTTTTACAAGAAATAACTTTTATTTTTTAGATTTCTGTTTCAGTAACGAAATAGATCTAGAGATAACCTAGTTTTTTTTTCAATAAATGAACAATCAAAGGAACATATAATATTTAATGTTTTTCTTACATTTCTAGTATAAACAATGGCTCTGTCTGTAAGATTTCTCGTACCTATATCTGTCCTAATTTTTATTCTGTCACTTATGAATGGAGGTTTGTCAATTGAATGTACTAAAGATTTCTGCAAGAATGTAACCTGCGAAGTGAACGTTACATCCTGCCAAGAAGGATATCACTTGATGCCTACAATATGTGGATGCTGTCATTACTGTGCGAAAGATATACGTAAGTATATATACAGGGTGAGTCTTAAATAAGTGCAAATATTTTTAGGGGTGGTATATTTCTCCAGAAACACGTCTATGATTTTTTTTTTCACAATTTTTTTATTTTCCTGTTAAATTTTTAAATTTTCTGTTAAAAAATATAGTATTTTGAAAATGTGGCAAAACATGTATTACATTAAATTTAGAGTGACCAAAAACAGAAAAACTTGTTGGACATATTTTAAATCAGTTATTCTAATATAATTTCTAGTCTTTTTATTTAAAGGTAATATGTATTTTTGTGTTTTTAGCTGAGAATGGATCTTGTCGCAACATAGGTGGATTGGGAGTTCCCTCGAATACCCAATGTGCTAAAGGTTTAGTATGTTGCAACGGCACAATTTGTTTGAAGCCAGAAAATTGTAGAAAATAGAAAAAAAAACGATAATTTACATAGTATTTTTAAATAATTATCCAGATTATTAGTTTAGTTTGACATGTATTAACTCTATAATAAAGTAGTTTTAACCAAAATACCGTATGATCGAATAAAAACAGCGTCAAAGTCGGCTGGGGAACGACAATCGATAATAATATTTTGGCTCATTTTAAAAAATTAACACTAATGAGGAAGATGCATATATTTTATTTTTCGCCAGAAACTGTTCAATTTATTAGAATAAATATGTGTAAATGCAAAAAAAAACTTTTTTCTTGAAAGCAGTACCACAATTTTATAAAACGGGCCATTAAAATACTATGGATAACGCAATCGACGCCTCGCGAATTGAAAAGATATTCTATTGGTCTGACGTCACCCGCCGTTCTCGCCGACGCGCGATGGCCAGCAGCAGCCAGACGTGTTCCGTTTATGTACGTATTTAGGTGGCGTACTAAGACATTTTTGTTGCTTGAAGGAGCTTTTTATGCTTTTTTGTGCAGTTATTATTTGTATGTGTTGTGTGTTCTGAGAATTTTTTAAGTAATGGCAGATTCCGGGTTTGCAAAAGCACAATCAGATAACTTGCCAAAAGTCGATGCTTTTATGTTGGCTGCTTTTATAAATACATAGTCCCAATTTATTGGTGCTGAATTACTAGGAAAAAAATAGAGAGGTATGAAACATTTATTCTTTGTAGTACTGAGGCATATTTAAGTATAAGTAGGTACCTACTATTACGAACTTTTATATAGTTATAAATTAATGTTATAAACTTATTTTTCAGATCAGGTAGGAGATATGTTATGTAGAAGTGAAAAGAGACAAAAATATTTGTTTAGTACGTGGAAAAATAACTCCACAGCATAGCGTGATAAAGAAAGTTTTTTTTTTATATATTGACACCCCCTTACCCTTGTTATTTTTAAAGATTGTTTTTTTTACGAAATTATAGGAAATAAATTGTTTATCAGTAATGAAAATATTATACAAGGTGTCCCATAAGGAAACGCCAAAATTAAGTTACTTTTTTAAGTGAGACATCCTTTATACTTTTGGATTCTTCGGAAATTTCTAGATATTCTAGATATATTTCATGTATAATATCCTATACCTATCTTCAAATGTTTACGAAATATTGACAGTTGAAAAGCGAAAAATACCTACAATTTTCTGCACCACCTTTTATGAGACACCTTGTATAACTAGAATTAATTTTAAAAGAGAGTATATAAAAAACCGTGCAACTTTCTTATTTAATGTTTTCTTCTAAAACTTGCAGTTTAGGCTGTATGTGGGTGTCAAAATATAATGAATAACCCTGTACATACATTCAAATTTCATATACCTTACATCAAAATGATCTTCACAACAATAAATCGTAAAAATAGAGGATAATTTAACGTTTGTCTTTTCATCTCTTCTCATGGCCTTGGACCATTTTTTTCTGTTTTCGCTCATCCATTACTATTTATAAATATCACTAATTACTCTAATTATGTATTAATTAACACAAATAACTAAAATTTTGACTCGGATTCAATAGCCTTTAAAAGCAAACTGTGTAAAATAAACACGCGTCTGGCTCCACTCAACCAGAAGAACGGCGGGTGACGTCACAGCGGCAAGGCGCGGTAGAGAACGTTTGCCCGGCCATTTAAATTAACAATATTTAATAATTTTATATTAGAGGCATTACTTAACCGATATCAACGATTTTTTTTTGTTCAATTTGTAATTATATGAACTATTTTTTAAAACCATTATTTAAAAACATGCATTTTCCTCATTATAAAAAGATTAAAAAAGGATAGAACGTTTCCAGACATACAAATCTATTTCCACAAATTATTTTTTCTCGAAAACTACAACATTTAAACATCATTTTTACTCAATAGAAAAATAAATTATAAACTTCTTAATGCCAACTGGCAGTAAGTGCCATTAAAAAAACAAAGAAGAATACTTGCTAAGTAATGACGTCTAGGGCTTAACCTCGCCAAAATTATAATCGTTTGTCATTCCCCAGCCGTCTTTGACGCCGTTTTTTTCGATCATATGGCATTACAATTATTTTTTGTTTATCATTTCTTTTTATTGATATTCCTTGCTGTTATATTTATATTGCAATCTGTCATAGAGGAGTTTAAAATACTGTTCAATTTAAATTTTGATTATCATCCATAGATTACATCAGATTTTGTAAGGTTGATATTCGCCTGTTTTACTATGACTGACAGCTTTATTGTGGCCTTCTTGCCGGACTTGGAGCCGAAGCTTTCCATATAAGATTCCTTTTACATTCCTTTTCCATTAAGATTCACCCTGTCTATATGTACTTACGTATTCTTTTGCACAGTAATGACAGCATCCGCATATTGTAGGCATCAAGTAGTATCCTTCTTGGCAGGATGTAACTTTTGCCCCAGTGCCTTTTTACTGACTACACTAACATAAAATGGCTATAGAATATGGTTATTCGATTTTTAAATAGTAAATTTACTTATCCCCAGAAAATTCATTGTATATGGTAACCCTATTCAACCAATTTTTTTTTATAAATATCGTATTTGTTATAAGATAATTTCGAATGATTTTTAAAATATATTAATTGTCAAAAAAATATATTCAGCAATAACTAATTTTCTGAAAATAGATTAGTATGTCTCTTTTAAATAAAAAATAGTACATAATATCAATTTACGTTTTTTATGTCTTTTACGTATATTTATATTTTGTTTTAAAAGAAAAAATTATTACCAATGTATTGAGATATAATTTGTTACTTTTGCTAATTTTATAGTTATTATGTGTTTTAGTAAGTCAAGTACAAATTAGTAACATATTTAAAATTATTGCCTTTTAAATTTCGATAAAAAATAATATAAAAGCCGATATTATTATTCGAAAACACAGTTTTCTATTCATAAACAAAACAGGTAAGTAAAATATAAACTCAGTGTTCATTCATTAATGACTAATATTTCTGAATACGACACTACTTTTTTTTGAAATGGTTTTTTTTTATAAATGAAGAATATAATCTAGGGAATAGAATATAATCTAGGAGATGACCACAATAGACTTGTAAAGGCCTCAATATTCACATCAAAAAAATCATCTATCTAAACAAGCCTTGACAGATTTAACTACTAACATATTCAAAGTTTAAGACATTTAATTTTTAGGAGTTTTATACTAGTTATATTTTGATATACAAATTGTTTTTTTCTAACGTTTATATATATTTTTTTAGTAAATTTATGGTACAAAATATGGCATTGTCCGTAAGACTCCTTGTGCCTATATCGGTAGCAATCTTTATCCTGGCACTTATGCAGGGAGGATTGACAATTGTATGTCCTAGAGATTACTGTAAGAATGTAACCTGTGAAGTGAACGTAACATGCTGCCCAGAAGGATATCACTTGATGCCGACATTTTGCAGATGTTGTCATCACTGTGCGAAAGATATACGTAAGTATATAATACACGGTGACTTATATGAGAATGCACACAACAGGAATCTCGTAAACCAATAAATTAGAGAAAAGTTGCATCTTCTGTACCCTAACAACGAAATTTTTATATAGGACACCGTGTATAGGGTGTGCATTTAGTAAGAATGTTTCAAAATATTTCTTCTTCCATAGTAATAAATTATAAAAGTTTTTTTCGATAATGCCAATTTTTGACTAATGTCCAACCCCAAAGAAACACCCTTTAAAATACTATACGTAAATTACAGAATTTTTGTTAAATCAGCTACTTAACTTAAGTTCAAACTCTTATCTTTTTATTTAATGGTAATATATATTTTTGTGGTTTTTAGCTGAAAATGGATCCTGCCGTGACTTCGGTGGGCTAACAATTCCTTGGAACACCCAGTGTGCTAAAGGTTTAGTATGTTGCAACGCCACAATTTGTTTGAAGCCAGAAAATTGCAAAAAATAGAAAAAGAATCTATAAATATACACATTATTCTGAAATAAATATTCATATTTTTAGTTTAGTTTGACATGTATTAACTTTATAATAAAGCAAATTTAATCAACAAATGATTATTAGATCATGTTTATCATCTTTTATTGATATTCCTATTATATTATTTGTTATTATATTTCTTTTTATATACTTAAATTTAGAGTAAGCTAATATAATAATAAAAAAATATTCTTTTCAACGTTAACAGCGCTTTCAGGTGGAGCGGAGCGTCCGCTACGGACCGTCCGCGCCTTCGAGCAAGTACCATGAGTTTATATGAACAATTTCACATGGGTCGCGTATGCTCCGTCCGGATGAGCTATCTTGAAAAAACAATAGCGCGGACGTTCCGCTCCATCTGAAAGCGCTGTAAGGCGAATTCTGACGACTCGTGTACTTGGCAAGTACGCTAATATTTGCGTATTTGGCAAGTATGCTATCCCTGTAAACAATTTTTTTTGCAACAAGCTTGGCAATCACGGGGGGCAACGACTGACAAATAATTGCACAAGACAAACCGCTTATCGTCATGGCAAGTATATGCCAATAACAAATGTTTGTACAAGTACACGAGTCGTGAGAGTCCGCCTAGAAATAAAGATTGCAAATAATATTTATCAAACATGCGCTATATTTTTTTTATCTTTGTTTTAAATATTCGTATAATATATTTCAAAAATACAAAATATTTCTCTTATATGTATATTTTTCTGATAGAGACATATTTTGACGATTTAAAAACAATATGTTTTTTTATACAAATTAAACAGTACCTATTATTATATTTATCAGCTATTCGGCATATGTATAACATACATATACATAATCTTTTCAGTTATATTTAGAACCATTCCATATCAGTTTATATATTAAGTAAGGTAAAGTACATAATATATTTTTTAAAGGTTAAAAAACAGACAACTTTAAATTTTTAGGAACGGCTACAACATGCAAAATATACTTGTGCTTGGATTTTTCCTAATTGTTTTATATAATATTGGCAGTGTTATATCTTTTTGTGAAGACTGGACAATATGTCAACGAATTAGATGTGCTGCTCCACCAAAAGAATGTCCAGTTGGACAGTACTTAATTTGGGATGACTGTGGATGTTGTCAAAGATGCAGGTAATTATTTTTATTTACAATCTTGTAGTAATTTTTAGGTTAGTAGTTTCTTGTTACTTTCTCTCCATTAATATTTTGTGTAGGATTTGGATATTATATAAATTGGAATAAAGAAGAAAAAAATTGTAAGAATGGCTTATTCAGGTTTTTTGAAATTTTAGCGAAAAACCCAAGACAGGTCCTTGTGGAATATGTGACGTAGATATAAAATGTAACAAGACAGAGCCAGTATGCAAGGAAAACGAAGCAATGACCATAGATTACTGTGGATGTTGCAAAGAATGCAGAAAACTTCTATGTAAGTTCACATACAGGGGGAGTTTTCTACAATGTTCTCTATGGGTATCTCGGAAACTACTGAAGATAGAGAGTCGGTTAAATGGGGAAATAATTGCAGTTTTGTAGGGTCATAGTTATGCGCCTTTCAGATTTTTGAAAAAGTTCATGGCTTACTAGATATTTCGAGAAAAACAAATTTTGGCTATTTCAAAAATTGTCCAATTCCATTATAATCTATTTTAGACAAAAAGTTTTCAGATAAAAGTTGTAGATAATCACATCCCTAATGAGTTTGTGTTATCTGATTTTTTCTAAAGCCTGTCATTTTTGACATATGACACAAACGTATGATTTTTTAAATGGAAACTATAGTTGGCCATGACTTCATAAAAAGCGTCGGTTTTTAAACTTTTTAGCGATAAAACCTATAGTATGTTTTTTTCAAAAAATTACTGAGCTATAGCCAATCTCTTTTAAATTCTCTTTCTTGACTAATTTCACTTAGTTGGCATGGTTTTATAATGTGTCATATAAAAATATCACTACATACACTTTAAAAAATCCGCCATTATTTTGAGTACATAAATGCATCTTTTTAAAATTGAATCTCTGAAAAACTGAATAAGTTCTTTTGTAAACCTTGTTGTTAACCATATCGCATAAAAAATCTAAAATGGATAGGCTAGGTGATCAAGGAGTCCCATGCAATTGGTCCATCTCTTTCTATCCATTGTGGGGGACAGGGGCGTTATAATGAAAGTTATATTGGAACCACTCTATTAATGCGCGAGTATCTAAATTTAACTTTTCTAACATTTCTTGAAAACCGTTCTCTAAAAAACGTAAGTAACGTTCACCGGTAAACGTATCCTCGAAACTCTATGACCAAGAAAAGTTGAACCAATAATCCTACACGCTTTTCTTCATTTGAAAAATTCATATTTACAGTTTTTGTTTATTTTAATTTACAAAGTTTGGATGTGACAGTTTTACATTTCTGAGAGCAACGAGGATTGAACTTGTTTCCATGGCTAACTAAGTGAAATTAATCAAGAAAGATAAGAATTGGCTATAACTAAATAACTAAAAAATATTATAGCTTATACAGGGTTGTTCACCACTTACGACACGGAGTATTGTAGCTAAACGATGGGATTTTTACAAATTGTAAGTTTTGAGTTCGATGAAGGACTATTAGAGGTACAATTTAAAAATAATTTTACAAGATACAGAGTGTCCCAAATAAGTAAAAAATATCAAAGTTGTATTTGTTTAAATGGAACACCCTGTATATTATTACATTTTTAGTTTCTACGATTAAAATAAAGGTAAATTTGATTAAGGTTTATTATACTTAAACCTTCCCGTTTTTGAAATATTTTCAAATTTGTGAAATTGCAGTAAAAATTTTAAGGCTTCATTTCTCCAAGGGTATCAAAGTTTTTAATACTAAATATTTACTGAAGTTTATTTACTGATCAGTTATTGTGTTGCAATAATAAAAATAATACTACCTTATACAGAGTGTCTAAAAATTTATTTTAAATAATTATTAAATTCAAACGGCAATAACTTGTTTAATTTAAATGGAACACCCTGTATATTTTACGAGAATCAGATGCACAATTTAATTGTCTATCAAATTATATTATACCATTTTTTACCTATCTCTTTAAGTTTCCGTAGAAAATGCATTTTTTTGTAATTTAGAACTTATTTATCCATATACCCATGGACTATTGAATTTTAGATTATTTTTAAAGATGTATCAAATTTTTAAAGAGTACAGATACTAATATTGTCGATATAATTCGTTTATTTCATTAAAAAATAAAAAAAAACTGTTTAAATATTTGTTAAAGAGGATCAGTTAATATGATTCCAGTATTCAAACAACATTAACTGACTGTTTGCTTTGATTAATAATAATTGCTCCAAATACTAAAAAACTGAATTTTGTATGGGCATTAGACAGTGTGATAAAAAGTAACACCTTAAAAATGATATTTCATTTTTTAATAAATGCTTATTTATAACTACAGAGACTTTAATTTGATAACTTATTATTATATTGATTTCTGACTCAAATCCACATTTATTTATAATAATTTAATAACGAACACAATTAAGTATGTAATTAATTAGTATATGGGCGCAAATAATGGTGTTATATTTAATTAATGGTATACTCTTTTATAAAGATTTAAATAGTTTTCTTTTTGCATACAAATGGGCTAGTAATATTATCGTTTTGCTAAAAACGATAATATTACTAGTCTGTACATTTTGTACATTTGTTGCTTTAAAAACAATCTAAAATGTCAATATTCCATTGATATATTGATAAATGAGGTCTAAATTATAAGAAAATGCATTTTATACGAAAACTTGAAGGGATAGGTAAAAAATGGTATAATACAATTTGATAGACAATTTAATTGTGCATCTGATTCTCCTAAAATATACAGGGCATTCCATTTAAATTAAAGAAGTTATTGCCGTTGAAGCTAATAATTATTTAAAATAAATGTTTAGACACTCTGTATAAGGTAGTATTATTTTTATTATTGCAACACAATAACTGATCAATAAATAAACTTCATTAAATATTTAGTATTAAAAACATTGATACCCTTGGAGAAATGAATTTTTAAAAATTTTACTGCAATTTCATAAAATTGAAAATATTTCAAAAACGGTAAGGTTTAAGTATAATAAACCTTAATCAAATTTACCTTTATTTTAATCGTAGAAACTAAAAATGTAATAATATACAGGGTGTTCCATTTAAAAAAATACAACTTTGATATTTTTTATTTATTTGGGACACCCTGTATCTTGTAAAAATATTTTCAAATTGTAGCTCTAATAGTCCTTCAACGAACCCCAAACTTACAATTTGTAAAAATCTCATCGTTTAGCGACAATACTCCGTGTCGTATGTGGTGAACAACCCTGTATAGCTGAAAAGCTAAAAAAATGGCGCTTTTTATGAAGTCATGGCCAACTATGGTTTCCATTTAAAAAAAAAACATATGCTTGTGTCATATATCAAAAATGACAGGCTTGATTTGGAAAAATCGGAGAACAACTCATTTGGGATGTGATTATCTACAACTTTTATCTAAAAACTTGTTGTCTAAAATAGATTATAATGGAATTAGGGACAAATTTTAAAATAACCAAAATTTGTTTTTTTTCGAAATATCTAGTAAGCCATGAACTTTTACAAAAATCTGAAAGGTGCATATTTATGACCCCACAAAACTGCAATTCTTTCCCCAATTTACCGAATCTCTGTCTCCAGTAGTTTCCGAGATACCTATAGAGAACATCTTAGGAAACTCACCCTGTATATCTTCATCAGTTTTAATATATTGCTAAGTTTTGATACACATTTGAAATAATGATAGTATTACACAAAGATAATAAACTCGGTTAGGTTAGGTTAGGTTGAGTTTAAATATCTTTGGTATTACAGATTATACAAGAAACTATTTCTATGTAAAAATAATATTATCACTTTTTTAAAGGTGAAGGTGAACCCTGTAGCATCAGAAAACCCTGTTACGGGCTTTGCAAGTCCGGTCTAAGATGTACTGATGGTTATTGCAGAAAAGCACTTTAAGTACAATAATAACTTGTAAAAGGTAATAAATATCTTTTGTCCTTCCTGTATTTGTTTCTATTTTTAGAAAACCTTCAATTAAAAACGATGTTTATAAATAACGTAAATGAATATATTTTTTTGTTTTTTCCATAAATATTAGCATTTTATCAAGCATTTTATCATTCATTTCGCACTAAAAAATATTGTATATTTTTTAAATATATTTAATAATTGTTAGGATAAAAATAAATATAAATAAAGTAAAAATATTCAGTTGGAAATACTAAAATGTTTAAAAAAATATATGAAATTGTTTACAGAATAAAATAAAGTTTTCAGAATAATTGAATAGTAAAATATAAAATTTATAGAATAAAGGATTTAAATATTTATATAAAAATATCAATTTGTTGTTCCATAGTGACAATTACTAATAGCAACGATAAATATTCATGGTTTGTTAACTCTAGTTATAATGAAATATTAATTTATCAATTTATTTTGTAAATATTTATGAGCTTAATACCCAAAATTATTATATATACATACGCTAAAGTGATAAATGTACCCACATTTCATTCCAAAAATTTTTAGTCAAGTGATTAAGCTTGACCGACACAGCGTTGCTCACTAAAAATAAATTAATTATAAATATATAAACAGTTATTATTTACATCAACAAAACTCACCTTCTTAACAGCATTTAAGGGACATTAAGGACCATTACTACCTTGCTTTCCCGTTCAAAATATTCTAATAAATTTGCGATGATTCTAATAAAGAGGTTCTAGAAAGAACAATGTTCGACTGTACGGTCTTCTAGTAAACATTTTTTTAAGATTAAAGGTATTAAAATACTATTTATTTAACCCAAAATCTCGTAATACAAAACTAAACCACGGCACATAAAACAATCGGCACGCCAACTCTACTCAGATTCCATTGTTTAAAATTTCTATAAAATTTGACCTTGTCGGCGCCATTATGGTTTCCTAGTCAGGGCCGGATTAAAACGTATTAAAAAATTCCTTAGAAAATACGACAGGGTCGTATTAAAAAAATACTGTAATTGACTGAAACTGAATTTTATTTACAATACTTTTGTCCAAACAAATGAATCGTTAACCGCGCATACTTCTCGAAAGTAAAAATGAAAAAATCAATTAAATATTTCACTGTAGAGAATAGACAATTAAAATTAAAAACATGCAACTAACAAAAACATGCCAGGAGTTACAAACAAGAATTAAAAAAATACCAATAAAATATTTATTGGACAATATAAAGAGGTTACGTACAAATTATGCCCATCAATGGGCGTAGCAAATTTTTATTAATATTCAAATTTCACAAATTAATAAATCCACAATTTTTTGAGAAACTTCTATTTTTTCATGGCAGGAAACAAAGTAGGTACCGCATTGTATTTTATACGGTTACAAAGTGAATTGGTAAACATTTTAAATTCAAAGTGAACAGAACACAACCTGTACTTGTGGGCCTTATTTATATCTTCAATCAAGTCTTCTCCGTTAGCTGCAATTGCCCATGTTCTTGCCCTAAAAATGTATTGTTAACTTATTTTCGATATAGTCATTTTATTTACTTTCATAATTATATTTAAATTAATAGTATAATGATTTTTAAATTTAATTTTTAATGTCTAGATACAACATTAAATTTTACTAAATATTTAACATTAAATCTTACTAATATTAAAGTTTGTTAAGATTTTTAATTAGATCTTCCTATTTAGCTGAATGTCCTAATATGTATACTACTGTTTTTTTTTTCACAACTAAAATATGCTAAAATAATTAATCAAATATATACATACCTAATCGGATCTCTAGGAAACAGAAAGAAACTTTTATTGCAGTTTAGTCCTCTACTCGGGCAGTTTTTTGCTGCACAACTTCGCCCAGGCATTTTAAAAACACTTAAAAATTAACGATTTAAAAATGTTCAGAAAAACAAAAATAAATTATATAACACAAGAAACGAAAATAAATTAGAAAAACCAAATATATAACACAATAAACAAAAATAAAACAACTATAAAATATAACTCAAGAAATAAACAAAATAAATTAATCCGTACGCTACTGACTCGAATCAGCCGAAAGTGTGCGCAGTCAATGAAAGAAACTACGACACTGGTTACGTTCTGTTGATGGAAACCCTAATGGCGGCGTGCGCGACGGTATGCGCGTAAACATTTTTTAAGATTAAAGGTATTAAAATACTATTTATTTAACCCAAAAATCTCGTAATACAAAACTAAACTGTCAAAACGAATGACAATGTCAGGAAATAAATAAATAAATGTGGCAACTTGACATTTTTTTGCAGCATAGCTACCATCTGGATCCCCAGCGGGAAATTTAAATTCCATTTAGTCAGACCAGCGCCGAATATGTAAACTTAGAATAACTAAAAGTTTAATTGGTATCAAATGTATATTATTAAGTTAGTCAGATTAAAATAATGATTTTTTAGAATATTTATATTTTCTTCTAATGTTTTAGTACAAAATTAGGGCCTGGTATTCCCATAGATTAAGAATAAAATAATTTTATATGCCATGATGTTCATATCTAATAGGGTTTATATTTTATTTATGCATTAAAAGATGATTCTGTCATGTTTATTAACATGTATTTTATGAAGGAAGGATCTAAGTGCCAAAAACAGTCGTATCTTCGTACATGTTTTTCACTTTTTTCAGGACTGTCTTTGTTTAGTCTTGAATGTTCAGTGTAAAACAAGGTTAGATAATAAATAAATGAATGACTTCTTTTCTGTTTTGTAAAAATTGTTGCTTATACACGGTGTCCCAGAAATAAGTGCAAGTATTTTAACGGGTAGTATAGTTCAACCCCAAAAACACGCCTATAAGGTTTTTTTCCGCGAAAATTAATAATTAAATAATTTTTTGGAAAATTCGGAGTTTTTGAATTTTTTTTTGGAAATTGTTTTAGTTATTATTTAAAAAATAATTTCTTGACAATATAGCAACATAGGTAAAAATAATTTTATATGAATACCCAGTAAAACATAGGTACATAGATTAAATTTACAAGACAGAAAATCCAGAAAAGATACAGTGGTTCTCAAAATTTTAGCAAAAATTATTTTTTGGAAATAAGTAAGTAAAATAACTCCGTTATTTTGAACTTATTTAAAAATGAAAATTTTTGTTTATCGAGATCTACCACCCCTTAAAATACTTGCACTTATTTCTGGGACACCCTGTATATAAAACTATTGTATTTCTGTTTTAATTAATAAATTTCCACATTTTTTTCCTTTATTTGACATCGTTAGGTTTAAATTTATTCGTTTCATTTCCTAGCACGTTAAATTTTGGCACTTGGACCATTTGGGAATATTATTCTTCAATTATTAATTTAATTCGAAATAAAGAATATTAAAATAAATTCTTCCTTGACTTTGTGAAACATACATTTCAAGTTATGTACTTCATCGGCCAGATATTGTTTTTGATTGGTTTCCAGAAATAAATCGTTTCCAGTCAAGCCAATCGTTCACCAGCAAATCATTAAAAATTGATTTTTGAAAATAGTTTTGGGTCTAAAAACTTTTTTCCTTTCTTTTTGGATCATAATATCAGATATAAAATCACCAATGTATATTAATTATACAAAAAAATAAAGGTATAAGTACAAATATGGAAAAATCAGTACCAATTTACATATTTATCTTTTAAAAACATGTTAAACAATGTATAAAAAATAATGTTTGAAAAAAATCACCTTATTTTGCACGCAAATGCTAACTTTTAGCCTGTTGTCGCTTTGAAGCTCGTTATTAGTGCAGCATTTTGATTGTTTATCACTACAGCAGTATAGTAATAAAAACCAGCGTCATTACATGTATATAAATAAGTTTATTAAATATTGTTATGATCAATTCTATTGTACAAGCTTTCAGTAAGAAAAAAAAATCGACTGGTTGTCTATTAAGTATAATATAATATTTCATTCAAAAATGAATCAAATAACATTGTTGTTCATAGTATTTTTGATTTGGGATATTAAAGATGTATTAACAGTTTGTGAAGACCCGACATTATGTAGCAGAGTTCTTTGTCAGATACCTCCCAAAGTATGTCCAAATGGTCAGTACCTAGTATACGATGATTGTGGATGTTGTCAATATTGTAGGTAAGTCAAAATATAATGATTTCGTATTGGACCAATATATTAGGTTATACTATACGAGGTTTTCTATTATTAACTGGTCGTATAGTTCTTCTTGTATACCTTTTCCCAACACGACCTAAAAATAAAGTGGTATAAGCTTCAAAAAGAGTAGTAATAAAATATTCAGTGAAGCAACCATTTATTGACGGTACTATATACTTATAAATCTATTATTTTATGTAAAGAATGTTTTAGAATATATTTTATTTTTGCAAGTAATGTATTTAAGTCATATTCAATTGTAATCATTAATTTTTGTTTGTCAAATTGCAGTGAGAAACCTAAAACAGGACCATGTGGTACGTGTGGTGTAGATGTAATATGTAAAGAAAGTCAACCCATTTGTACTAATGGAATTATTGCTCTGGATTATTGTGGATGCTGTAAAGTTTGCAAAAGTATTTTAGGTAAAGACTTCTTCACCTTTTTAAGTTCTGGTGGGGTATAGACTTTGTTTAGTTTCTCCAAGTGTTATGATCCTTATGATCAAACTTAAATGTAATTAATAAAAACAGTGGTTTATTTATATGTGTTTAAAATTGGTTTTTATTAACCACATTTTATTATTTATATTTTACCGCTTTAGAAGATTCGCGCATAGAAGATTCGCACACCAAAAAAAATTAAGTTTTATCATTGTTACAAAATGTTTCCATTTACCAAATTATACCATACGATTAAAAAAAACGAAGTCAAAGACGACTGAGGTGTGACGATGGATGATAATTTTGGCGAGGTCAAGTCCTAGACGTCATCGACTTGACCCGTATCCTTCTTTATTTTTTAATGATAATAAATGATTTTTTTTCCATAGCAACTGTTAAAATTGCCTTATATCTACTTTAACCGCAAGGGTAGATTAAATGATACTTTAACAGCGAGGATAGGTTAAAAACTTTATTTCTTCTCGCACGTTTTTTAATTTCTTCCATTTTTGAAAATTTTTGTATTCCTTTTCATTAGCGATGGGTTGTTATTTAACTATCTGTTATTTTATAACAATTATTTAGAAATAACATAACGCAACCGTTACTACTTCTAAAAAATAACAGATATAAAATAACGACACGTAGAGATCGGCCGCTCGTGAAACGAAAAACGAAGTCGGCGCTCTGCACCGCCCCGAAATTCTATGCTGCTCGAAGCAATTCCAAAAAACAACTAGTATGGATGGAAAACATGTTATTTCGTCAACCATCGATACAGGCGGCGAGACAAGGGCGAGACAACGGACAGCGGAGTGGGGAATGCGCTACGGCGAACGTACCTGCTCTGGTCGATCCCGTCGACGGTCGAATTGGGCTTACAACAGCTTAAAAATAATAGGATATAAAAGAAGCAGGTTTTTTGAAACAGTTGCGGGCATAAAGCCTGGCGATCGAGATAAGAGGAGTGGGAAAGGAAGGCTGCTGCATCGGTCGATTGTCGATGGAGGCTCGCAATGGGTTGGAGAAGCAGTCATTTTAGATATGTTGTTTTTCAACCTGTTACGAGCATAACAGGGTGGTGGTAGAGATAATCGGAGTGGGAAAGGAACGCTGCTGCATCGGTCGATTGTCGATGGAAGTTCGAAACAGGTTGGAGAATAACGCATCAGTTGTTTTAGATACATTTCAACCTGTTACGAAAATAACGGGCGGAGGTCGAGATATTATGGCGCTGTATGTTTCAGTACGTTATTAAGTTTCAATATTTAGGTATTTATTTATTCTGAAAAATTTTCAGAATAATATTTTAAGATTTTTTAAAAATGTATACAGGGTGTTTTGAAAAATCTCGTCATTGATTAATCACGATCCTGCTTAAAGCCCTTGACGTATAAAGCTGATTTTTGGAAAACGGATTGACTTTAGGGTGTAGAGGTTCAATAAGAAGGGATTTTTCGAAACTCGAATTCTAAGGGGGTGAAACCACCCTCAAATATTATAATATTTTTTATTTAAAAACCGGTGAGTTTTTCGGAAAAACTCTTTTACACGTATATTTTATTACATTGAGTAATCACGATTCTGCTTAAACTGCTTGACGTTTAAAGCTGATTTTTGGCAAACGGATTGACTGTGGGGTTGAGGTTCGATAAGGAGGGGTTTCTCGAATCTTAAATTCCAAGAGGGTGAAAACGCCCCTCAAATATTACAATATTTGTTATTTAAAAAACGGTTAGTCTTTCGGGAAAACGCTTGGATACGCATAATTTATTTTGTTTTTTTACATATTTTGAAATTTAAAAAAACAGGGTGTTCCAAAAAGTTGAGTCATTGATTAACCACGATTCTGCTTAAACTGCTCGACGTTTAAAGCTTATTTTTGGCAAATGTGAGAAAATTTTATCCAGTTTGTATGTTAATAGAAATTCTTGCTTTGCTTTATCATCACCATTATAAATTATTAATTCGACGCGAACAAAGTCGTCGGTACACGCTAGTTTAAGTGTAAAATTAATTCAAACTCTAGTGTGTAGTTGGTTTACTTATGAAGAATATACTACACATTTTCTTATATTGCTATTTTTTGACCGCAAATGGTAAAATTATAACTAAGAGCTTCTCGCCCGTCGAGTGAGATGCACCCTGTACATTGCTACACAATTCAAGATCTACGCCGATTGAGGGGCAAGGCGTAGGTAGATCGGAATGTATACGTATAGACGAGTGGCGGAATTTTGGCTTTTTTATATCGCAATTTGTAAACAGCGCTTAGTAGTCATTGGGCCACTTGGACCAGACAGACAGCCAAATATCCGATATGGATAAATAGGAGTCTGATGTAAATCAGGTAAGAACAGTTAAAATACGCTAATAAACAAGAATAAACAGGTTAGAACCACTTTGAATCGCTTTAAAATAGAAATAAACAGGTTTGAGCAAAAAATGAACAGGTCTGTTGTTTTAAGCTTGTCTTAAGCGGTTCAAAGCAGTTCAAAAACGGTTCAAAGTGGTTCTAACCTGTTTATTTTTGTTTATTAGCGTATTTTAACTGTTCTTACCTGATTTACATCACACTCATATTTATCCATATCGGATATTTGGCTGTCTGTCTGGCCCAAGTGGCCCAATGACTACTGCGCTTATTTGTAAACAACGACCGTTTTTAGAGAGGTATTTTATATAACAATCGATATTTAGAAATGTTTTGACACCCTGGAAATACTACCACCGAGCATGTCATTGTTGCAACTTGCAACTGCGTTAATACGCCTGGCGGTGACCGCCTCATACTCTTTCAGATACTTAGCAATAAAATAAAGAAACCTGTTATTTTTAAGCTGTTATTTTAAGCTGTTTTTTATAAATAACTATAACAGTTTCAACTGTTACCTAAAAATAATAGTTTTGCTCATCACTACTTTTCATAAGTTATTCGGGATTTAAATGGAAGTAGTTTGGATATGGCGTTTGTCGCCTCAGCCTGAATATCTGTTGGTAATTTACTTATTTCGTTTTGAGCCATTTCTGGCTCCAATTCAATCAGCAATCGACACGAAAAAGAATTAAAAAATCTTGACTCAAAACTGACAACTTAAGAGACAGCTTTATTTATTTGTCAAATTACGTAGAAACCAACGCCAACCCAGCACAATATTTTTTCTACTCGTAATAAATTCCTTGAAATAATAATTTCTGAATATTTTTAAAACGTAACTCGCTATGGAAAAAATATTGTTTTATTCACGACGATAAAATTGCATTATCGTCTCCTGAAATTAATTCATCATCAATTAATCTTTTCGGTCGACATGTGTCTTGTCGACATGTTGTCTTGTCGACATGTGTCTTGTATAAAAAATAACTATTAAACGGTGCAGTTTAAAATTAAAAGAAAAATAATTTTTTGGAATTAGATTTGTGTGTTTGGAAATTTAAGCTTTCTATAATTATTAACGTTAATTTTTGAGAAGTTTATTTGAATTTTTGGTAAATGGCGTCTAGAGATTGACTTCGCCAAAATTATCATCGATTGTCATTCCACAGCCGTGTTTGACGCCATTTTTTTCGATCGTACGGTACATTGTACCTACTTTTTGATTAAGAGTTTCGCTGTTAACTAAATAGTATACACACCAGTACAACACCATGTAGATTTTATGATTTATTTTAGGTGTTAATGAGAAGTGTACGATAGAAGAACCGACTTTTTCAGTTTGTGCTGCAGAGCTAAAATGCTTTGAAGGTCGCTGTGTATCTCCAAAATGTATGAAAGGCACATAATTTTCCACATTTTGTAAAAAAAATCAAAATATATATTAAGACTAGTTTAATATCTTGTTTTACTATATTAAGTAACTGTCACGGAGATAGTAATTATTAATTTGCAATAATTAGTAATTATTAATTTGCAGTAGTAATTAGTAATTTGCATTATTAATTTGCATTTGCAAAAATCAATGGCTTTAATAGACACGTCTGTGCTAAAAAATATGCATTTGCAGTAGTTCCAGTAAAGCTTCATTCAGAACTTTGAAATTAGTAGAATAAATTAGTGGTTTCAATTTTAGCATAGAAGTTTGTTTTTCTAATTTCAGTGTAAGCACTCAGGGCGTCAAGTTTAGTGGTATAGTCTGTCCAACGAGAAGATCCTTGACAGTGATAGATGTGTCTGTCATTTTAATTTCAAAGTAGTTTATTTTATTTTACAAAGAAATAAGTTGGTACAACTGAAACGCATAGCAAGATATATTTAAAATTTGATTGACAAGATGACAAGTGATTACTTCAAAATATTGTGAAAAAAACTGTATAAAACTGAAAAAATGTAATCGAGTTATTTTATTTAATAAAACGGTATGTGTTAATACAAAACAAACAAGAACAAGACACTACATACCAAAAAAATATGAAAAAGAACTATTATTATTTACTTTCAAGCTTTATGAAACTACCTGCATTTATGATTATATTTATCAATATAACTTATGTACAAATACAAATTTGTAATATTCCACAGGAATAAATAAAACAACATAGGTAAATAAAACAAACTATTTTATTAATAATAACACCTACCAAATTTTATACCTTAAAGGTTGATTAATGAACTGTAATCTTAATTTTTTTAAACCAGTACCTTTTGACATTATTTTTCTGCAGTACTAAAATCCATTATTTACCTATCGTGTGACGTCGATATTTTACAGCTACTCCAGTTTTTAGTATGTGTTTAGTTTGATCCTTCTACCATATACGAGATGCACTTATCTACGACGAAATGGTATACAAACTTTATCGATGGCAACTTCATTGGTGTATAAAACTTTCTGCCTGGGCAGCGAGTATAAACCATAAACTGTGCTCTGGGTCTACAGTTAATTTTCACTCGATTTTTCCTGCACTTGACTTCAAAATACACAAAACACACGTAATAATACGAATCAAAATGCATCGTCTTCCAAAACGCAGGGTATTTAACAAAAGTTGACACAAAATTCTAACCTATAATTTGGCAAGACTTTGACAAGCGTCAAAAATGACAAAAATCTAAAGGCGAGTTCATACGCATCGGCGTCCGTTTGTCGTTCATCGTTCCGTCAAACCAATAAAATTGAAATACGATCTGTCATTTTTTAAATAAACCAATAAAACTGGTTAAAAACAACAAGACACGACGTATGACGGATTTATATTTAAACCCGTCCATAGATAACTTAAAAATTATTAGAAACTTTTTTAGTAAAATAAATAGATTGGTATGGGACGTCATCTGCTTTTCTTCTGTCATCGTCTGTCGAAATCTTACCAGAGAAAAAAAACAGAGTATAGTAATTTTCAATTAGTAACTTTTTCCACTAAATATACTTCATCAGATACGCCATTATTAAAAAGCGCTAATTAAAAAAAATTATATGTATATTTTTGTTCATTTCTATTTTTCTTTTTCTTAATTTAACAAAGAACTGATATAAAATTGCTATAAAGCAAGATTAAATAAAAAATCTTAATATCTAGTATACATTTTTCCACTTCAAATTGTCCTAAAATCAAAAACGATATCTAAAGTTTCTAAAACTTGCATCTTATATGCTGAAGTCCACTATATATATTGTTATAAACAAATTCCATAATCTCGTACTGTTATTGTTGTTGTGTATGTGTACTAAATTACTCACTTGTGGTGTGATTTGATTTAATTTGAAACATGTGGTAATTTTTATCGTCAATTATAAACTTGGTAGTGAACACGCAGCATTACTTGTAATAAATGGTAGCAATAAATCTCTTAAAATTCATAGAAGTTCTACTCTAACGTTTTAGTGATTTATTTTCTATATCAACAGGTTATTTTTAGTGCCGCTAGTGAAATAACCAGATACCCATTTATAAAAAAGAGTAATGTAAGTAATCAAACTATTAATATAAATTTAATTGATACTTAAACATATAGTTCGATACTTTGTTTTATGGAATTACAATTAATTGCAATAGGATAAAGTTTAAATTATTTTGATTTAAACTGTGAAAAGTCAGATTTTTTTTGTAAGTAATTATAAATCGAGAAACTATGGTTACGCTCGTTGAATTTGACACTTTATGTCACTTTAACAATATAATTTCGTACTTTTGCGCTTAGATGTAAAAGTGCTTCCCTTTTATGCCTTGGCATTAAAATTACTTTTTTATATTCTATATTCACGCAACAAAAATTAATATTTTTGTGACGTTTCGAAAATTTTGAAAAAAAAAATTTGGCCATAACTCCGCTATTTTCCAAAATTGACAGATACATCACGCACGCTTATAGCGTAGATGGAATAATAAATATCCTCTCTAAATCAGTGACATACTACTCGTAGACATTATAGAAAGATTCAAATTCAAAAAAATCAAATTTCAGTGTTGGTTGGTAATCTCATTTAAACTGCCCATAAAAAATCGCAATAGGAACATCAGTTATTTCTTGCATTCACATTGTAATTTTTTCTATAGAAGTAGATACGTATTTTTTTTCAAAATTGTAATTTTATTTTGTAGTTTTAGGCCGTCATGACTCTATCAACAAAATTCTGCTCCTCCCTACCAGTACTAATATTACTTATTTCATTTTTCCTGACAAGTCAAGCATTCCAATGCTTACCAAACTTCTGTGACGGCATAAGATGCGAAGAGAACGTGACCTCATGCGGTAAAGGATTTCACTTGATGACAACCACATGCGGGTGTTGCCAGATGTGTAAACAAAATCTGCGTTAGTAGTTTTTTTTATATTTTGTTAATTTCTTTTTCTTACATCAGTATTTTTTTAGAGGAAAATGCATCTTGTTTTAATTTCGGAGGTCTGTCAATTCCGTGGAACACTCAGTGTGACGATGGTTTAGTTTGTTGCAAAGGAGTATGTTTGAAACCAGAAAATTGTGTTCAATAATGTTAAAAATTTAATAGGAAATCTATATTGAATATACAGGGTGAGTCTTAAATAAGTGCAAATATTTTAGGGCTGGTAGATCTCGATAAAAGAAACATATTTTCTTTTCATCGTTTTTCAAATAAGTAAATTAAGTTATTTTACTTTCAAAAATTGTCTTAAATTTTGAGAACCACTGGATTTTTTCTGGGTTTTCTTTCTTGTAAATTTAATCTACTACCACTACCTATGTTGCCATATTATCAAAATATTATGTTTTTTAATTAAAAATTTAATGTTTCCATTTTTTTTGAAAAATACCAAATTTTCAAAACATTTTTTCCTAAAAAAACTTCATAGACTTGTTTCTGGGGTGGAAATATACCACCCCTAAAAATATTTGCATTTATTTAAGGCTCACCCTGTATAGTATTCAAAAAAATGCAAAATAAAAGGTTTATTTTTCTAATGTTTAGTAGTATTAAATAATATTTAGTCTTTTTTTTTAGTCTAAGAAAAAAAAATATATTTTTTAAGTTTCGAATAAATAAAGATTTGTAGTCTGTTATAAGTGTTGTGTACTTAGTAGAGTTAAATAAAAAAATATTTAAATTTCAAGCATATCTTAATAATAATTATTTTTACCATTTTTGTCCTACAGGGACAGGGAGGGAGTTACCTACAGGAGGGAATTAAGAAGGGGGATGAATAAGCTAAATAATTTGAATTAGATTTAAAATAACAAAAAAAGGGCAAACTATAAATCCAAAATTTAAAAAAGGAAAACTCTTGAAAAAGTTTTCAAACAAAATTCTAAATAATAAAGTTATGTTTTTAAAATAAATGTTTCGTTTAGACATTTTGAGTAGTTTTTCATTATTCTTTTTGTTTTTTTTTCAAGAAGTGAACACTGTTATCTTTTTGTCTATCCAGTATTAGATCTATAGATTGATGGTCAGGAAATTGTATTTCACAGTATAACAATAAACAATTAAACTAATTCACCACTAATTATAGTTACAGTTTTATTGTTGGCAACCTTCAGGTTGTCCATCACCTCAGATCATTAAATACTTTCAATATTTTGTTCAGTCATTTTTATTTTATTTAATTTACACCATTTTACATCAAATGTTAAGTAGCTAATGAATGGTTAATGCATATTCATTACTTGGCTAATTAGGGCATAACAAGGGAAATTAAAATTATAAAAATATAAAATTAACAATTTATCAGCTTTATTTTAACTAAACTAATTAAATATTAATTATTATTAACTAAATTTATGGCTGTTAGCAGAAACAATATTCCGAACACCAGAATTTACTTAAATGGAGATGTCATCAAGCAGGGCACACAATTTAAATATTTGGGATGCATGGTTAACGAAACGTGGGATCCAGATCAGGAGATCAAATGCAGGATCGAACAAGCAAGATCTACTTTTCTGAGACTACGAAGATTTCTCACAGATAGGAACTTGAACTTCGGCTTTAGATACAGAATGGTGAAGTGCTATGTCTGGTCCGTTTTGTTACTAATACTATTACAATAAACCGAATTGAAGCCTTCGAAACGTGTACCCTACGACCTTGTGAGGAATGAAGACATTCTCAGAAGAGCTGGTCTGGAACAACGTGAACTCTTCGAAATCATCAAGAAAAGGAAAATAGCCTATTTGGGACACATACTACGCGGAGAACGCTATCGCTTCCAGCGTTTGATTCTCCAGGGTAAAATAGAGGGGGGCAAAAGGGGAATAGGGCGAAGGAAGCTATCCTGGCTGAGAAATATTCGTCATTGGACAGGCATACAGGACTTCCAAGCACTCCAAGTCGCTGCAGTTAATAGAACCATCTGATGAGGAAGAAAAAGATGAACGCCTACGCAGGAATCTGCACGGCACCTTAAGAAGAAGCTTATATTAGACAAGGGACAAGGAATTTAACATTAAGACCGTAAAAAATAAAGTGGATAACATAAAAAATCCAGGTAATAGAACACACATCCACAGAATCAAATCACGTGGCAATGGGTAGAACACCTGGTAAGAAGGAGGGACAACAGATAGACTACAAAAATTACAGCATCATATCCAGGAGGAATTAAAAGACCTAGAAGAAGACCAAACCTGAAATGAGACCATGATATTAGGAAATTAGCAGGGATTACTTGGGCCCACATAGCCAACAATAGACAACAATGGGCCCAACTACAAAGAGAGTATCTAAATATGTGAGGGAGGCTACACCATAATTGAAAATGGTTGAATAAGCTGAAAATGATGACGATGAAGTAGTTTTACATAAATAAAATAAATCTTGATGATATTGTTACTCTGAGTATTGCAGTTCTATTATTTACAGACACATTAACATCTTTATTGAATTTTTATCCCGTATATGTATTGTCCGTTTTTACTCTGGTACTGTAAAATACCTAAATTTCAAAATTTAAATTCCCTGTAAATTTATTTTAAGCGTCTATTATCGTTTATATGATTCAACGAAAACAAATTCAGAAATTATTTAAATAAAATTAATCACCAACATATATACACGGTCTTGTATATCATTGTGTAGGTAGTTTGTGTTAAATTTAGAAGTAGGTACGACAATATGAAGGTTTTTTTGTTAATTATTTCAATAATACTGTTATGGAATATGGCAAGTGTAGTATGCGTTTGTAAGGATTGGACATTATGCCAAAGAGTTCGATGTAAAGCACCACCAGAAAAATGTCCAGAAGGGCAGTACTTAGTTTGGGATGACTGTGGATGTTGCCAGTACTGCAGGTATGCCTCTTGGTTTATAGTATGTAGATTTTCAATAATAAAAATAACTCCTTTTATAAACACTTTACAATTTTTTTTTGAAGTTTTAGTTGTACCAATTTTCAGATTGAATTCAAATAATATTTATAGTAAATGACAATGACTTCAAGTATATATATATATATATATATATATATATATATATATATATATATATATATATATATATATATATTGCTTGATAATAAAATAAATTTTGTTTAGATAAAAAAATATGTATGAAGAAAATTTATTTAAAAATCTGAAATAGTTAAAATTTACTGTCAAAAAATATTAATTAAAAATATAGATTTTTATACGAATTTTCATTTATTATATTTTGAGAGAACCAGTATTGTTGAGAACCAGCCCCTGGACAGTCCACCTGATGAAGGGTAGGCCCAGAAACCGGTTGTGGGAGTGGAGCTTGGTTCCCCCCTTTACGACAAGCAAAACAATTTTCTTTTTACTTTTTCTTTTTCTTTCTCTACTTTAGATTTTTCGAAATTAGAAAAAATATACAGCTAAAGGCAAGAAAATATTATTTATTAATATACACTAAAGCTGCAAGAATTTTGTTCATTTCATATATATTTGAGCGGGCCGAAAAACACTTTTTACCATCTTTTGACGGGAGATGCACTAATATCTCACCGACACTTTACGACATCGTGTGTTGATATTGAAAAAGTTTTGCTTGTCATATCGGTGAGAACCAGCCCCTGGACAGCCCACCTGATGAAGGGTAGGCCCAGAAACCGGTTGTGGGAGTGGAGCTTGGTTCCCCCCTTTACGACAAGCAAAACAATTTTCTTTTTACTTTTTATTTCTTTTTTTTAATTTTTTCTCTACTTTCGATTTTTCGAAATTAGAGAAAATACACAGATAAAGGCAAGAAAATATTATTTATTAATATACACTAAAGCTGTAAGAATTTTGTTCATTTCATATATTTGAGCGGGCCGAAAAACGCTCTTTGCCATCTTTTGACGGGAGATGCACTAATATCTCACCGACACTTTACGACATCGTGTGTTGATATTGAAAAAGTTTTGCTTGTCGTATCGGTGAGAACCAGCCCCTGGACAGCCCACCTGATGAAGGGTAGGCCCAGAAACCGGTTGTGGGAGTGGAGCTTGGTTCCCCCCTTTACGACAAGCAAAACAATTTTCTTTTTATTTTTTATTTTTTTTTTAATTTTTTCTCTACTTTCGATTTTTCGAAATTAGAGAAAATACACAGATAAAGGCAAGAAAATATTATTTATTAATATACACTAAAGCTGTAAGAATTTTGTTCATTTCATATATTTGAGCGGGCCGAAAAACGCTTTTTACCATCTTTTGACGGGAGATGCACTAATATCTCACCGACACTTTACGACATCGTGTGTTGATATTGAAAAAGTTTTGCTTGTCGTATCGGTGAGAACCAGCCCCTGGACAGCCCACCTGATGAAGGGTAGGCCCAGAAACCCCTTTACGCCAAGCAAAAACAGTTTTCTTTTTACTTTTTATTTTTTTTTCTCTACTTTCGATTTTTTGAAATTAGAAAAAATACACAACTAAAGGCAAGAAAATATTATTTATTAATTTTCATTTATTATAGCGAAGAACCAAAAACTGGATTATGTGGAACTTGTGGAAAAGATGTGGTATGTAAGGAAAGGGAGCCTATTTGTAACCATGGAATTGTTACAATTGATTATTGTGGATGTTGTAGAGCCTGTAGATCTGTCTTAGGTATACTATTTGAATATGTTTAATGTTCGTTTTACTGAATTATTAATAAGATATTTGGACACATATTTTGGAAGGAAGTTTATTTACAGTTTCTCAGTAATTTCTCAATCTTGATAAAAGATCTTAGTAAACTGTTAAAAACTAAAATAGAGATAGTAGGTATATAGAGATCAGAATGGCAACAGAACATGCAGAGAAGACATCTATATTATTTGTATTTGTTCTACGACTCTACGTTCTACGATTCTATTGTCCAAATCCTTTGGATTTTCACCTTAATGACCGGTCAATAGCAACAATGTCCAGTCTAAGTGGAGACATAGAATACTGACCGGTCATTACTGTTAAAAGCCGGTTGAGCTTTGTCCCTAACATGTAGATTTATTTTTTCAGGAGAAGGAGAATCTTGTATCGTTGAAGGAGAGGGACCCAACTTTTCAGTTTGTGACAAAGGACTAAAATGCATCAAAGGACAATGCACAGCTCCATGATTATTATGACATATTATAATTATAAATAAGTAGATCTTTCATATATCAATAAAATATTCAATTATTATATAAATAAAATTTTTGTTTCTAAAATAGTTTTAATCATTTTTAATAAGTACTTATGACTGTTTTACACTATAACGCGATCCTTTTTTTTTAATTATCTTTAATAATGTTGTACGCAAAGAAATATGTTTTAAAAATAGCTGAAAATAATAAATCACATGATATGTATAATATATGCACGGAAATTTTATATATAAATAGGATTTCTTAGAAGCCAGTAGGTATTTAGCATATTCTATTAATTTAATTATAAATTGTGGGTTTTAAATTTCATTTTATTATTAACAGTAAACAGACTAACAGTTTTTGCATATCTAGCCCTAATTTTGAAGATTTTAACGTTATTTTTGACATATTTATCTACTAATTTGACTATAACTATTATTTTTCGTTTATACATAACATCAATCATCTACAGTTATCAACGTTATCAACGAGAGCATACATAACAGTGACAGTTTTGTCTGTCATTGTACTTCACAGGTAAGTTGTATTTTCTTGTATGTCTTTTTTTGAATGTCGTCTGGCGAAATTTTGCCTGAACTTTTCTCTGAACCCCTTCAAGATATATTTTATCTCCTATTATAAAAAGTATTGCAAAGCAAAGACAAATGAACTCTACTAGATATAACTCAATAAATTCAATCTGTCTACAAACTCATACTTGAGTAAGTTATTTAATAAAATAGTATTATTAATCATATCAAAGGCTTTTGCTAAGGATCTATACATATTATAACGCCCACTTGATTGTTCAGATTGAAGCTCTTTGGTGTATCCTGCTCCGTAGTTAATCAATTTGATATTGCCAATTTTCTCCTTAAGGAAATTATGCTGATGTTCAATTTAATTGGTTCTCAATATAATTAATTAAAAAATCTCCTGTAAAAGATGTTAATATACAGGCTAATCCGATAGATTTTATTATGTCCAATTTTTTTTATAAATATACATATTTACCAAAAAAATACAAAAAGCTGAATTTTTTAAATGGTAAGCTTTATTTTTGTTCTTTTCATCATATTAAACAGAAGAAACTTGACAGATGGTGTCTATTTTAGTCATTGTCAAAAATCACTAGTAGACATTATTGTTTACTACAGGGTTCAGGCTTCTTCGAAAGCTCTATATAAGTTTTTTTGTTCGTGAATTTCATTTCAGTTTTTTTATTTAATATGGGGGTAATCGTAACGCACATTTTGAAAATATTTTTTTCAGCATACAGGGTGATTCAAACATATTTTCAAATCAAAGTCGTTCTTTCTATAAGTGAAATTCTAAACAAAAATTGGTCAAGTGCGAGTCGGACTCGCGCACGAAGGGTCCCGTACCATTCATTATCTATACAACATTAGATACTATATTATTATAAACTTTTTTTCCGATTTAGCTGAAATTTTAAATGCGCGTATAAGTAATTTAAAAAAAATGAAGAAACACATTACTAAAAATTGTATTAATCAATAATAAATATGTAAAAAGTAAAAAATAAATATGTAAAAATTAAAAAGAACGATTAAAAAAAGTCGCCTTGACTAGGATTCGAACCTGCCTTACTACGGCTCCAACGTCATCGTCATAGCAGCGTAGAGTCTATGGAGTGTAGAGGTAAGGAGAAATAACTCTTACGGGACTTTTATTGAAAAAGTCGTCACAAAATGGGAAGAATAAGGGTTCGCCAAATAACCACAGTGGCGCTAAAAACGCATGAATCTAAAAAATGAAAAGTAACCATAGATAAGAGAATAAAAATAAATATAACCAAACATTACCCAAAAAAATTTTGTTTTTATTTTTCAGACAGAGTTTTTGAATTTAAAATAATTATTGTTTATGAATATTTTGTGCTTTATTTATTATTTAACAATGGTTAAAGTGTGTGTGGTGCGAAGTTGATTGAATAGCTGATGGAAAAATAAAGAGCAAAGGCAAAGCCTACGGTATGTAAAATACATAATATAATTCAGTATTGTATTATTTGTATTATATGTAAAAATTAGAGTCAATCAAAAGTGTAGTAAACATTTTTCGTAAGATTATTGACATACATGTTACAAAGTATATTTTTACAATCCTTTTTATAAAGTTACAACCTAAATAAAATGTATTTTTAATGATTTTAAAGTTTGACAGACATGCACAAATTGTTGGCATTTTTTTAAACAAGTAAAAGTAGGAAATACATAAAATTGTAGGTACTTTCAAGAAATATAATTAACTGTAAGTGCTGTATTTTAATAATCTATCAAAAATCAAAATCATCAGGATAATATTAGGTATTGATTTTCAGACAAGGATTAGATTACAGTGATGGTCAAAAGCATTTAGATATTGCTTTGAAATCTACAGATAAGGTATGGCAGTTTCATTTTAAAGAACAAGATGTTAAAGTTTGTGATAAAATTATCATCAGAAATACTGTCTGTCCACTTCAGTATTTACATAGGAAAATATTGGAGGATGAAGCTCTACCTACTGCCTCAGGTTAATTTAAATTCTGAATTGCAACAACAGCAACAAGCAAGAAGGGCACCATTAAATGAATATTATACACATAAGTATATTATTATACACAGAAAGAGTAATGTTATACACATAAATATTAACATTTTGTAGAGCAACAACACAATAAAAAACCAGCAACTAAAACAGGAACCATTAAATGAATATTATACACGTAAGTACAAGTATATATTAGTATATATTATACACGTAAGTACTTTTTTTGATCGAATAAAAAACGGCGTCAGCGATGCCTATGAAATGAAGATTGCTGTCATTTTATATGTAAAATGATATGGAGAATGTCATCGAGATGTTCATTTCCAAGCCAACTGGACGCCGTGTTTTTACAGTATTATTATACACATAAATAATAATATTATACACATAAATAATAATATTATACACATAAACATTCCTTGATAAAGATCAACATTTTGTAGAGCAATAACAGCATCAAATAATGGAAATAATGGACCCTACTGCTCAAATCAAAAACAAAATTTCAGCATTACTACTTTATTGGTTATATCAATAAAAGAAATGATTGAGTTTATGAGTCTAGATCCTACAAGCAAGCAGATCTATCACATAATTTTAAATGAAGATTTATCTATTATAGTATGTATAAACACTTTGCATCTTTTATTCAATGTTGTAATGAATTAACAAATTGCAGGTAATTTATTCTAATAACAAAAAAAAACTTTGGATCAAAAAATATTTTCTTCTGATGAGGTTTATGAATATTAAAGTCTGTTGAAGTTTGGCCATTATGTGTTGGTATACAATTTATTTATGATGTTACAGTAGTTAACCGATCATCCGAGTACGAAACATGTTTAAAATCCACTATTCTTAATGAATGGCAACTACCAACTTGAGAGGAAGCTAAGAGAAAGGTTCTATTGGGTGGACTACAAGGAAAAGGGACATATACATGAGGATCTGGAAGGGCTATAACATTACGTCTCAAGCCATGGGACAATAGGAAACGAAATTCAAAGGAAAATATTACAATACGTGGGATGCAAATTATAGTGCAAAGAATTGAGAAAAAGAATTATTAAAAGTAGTTATTGTTACGATAGTTAAACCATCCGACTACCAAATATATTTAAAATCCACTATTCTGAATGAATAGCAACTACCAACTTGGGAGGAAGCTGCGAGAACGATTCTATTGGGTGAACTACAAGGAAGACATGAGCATCTGGAAGGGCTATAAAATTATATTATTTCACGTTTCAAGCCATGTTGGAATAGCTGGGAGTGAAAAAGAAGATAATACTGCACACCATTCTTGTCTAGAAGTAGTTGATATTAAGGTAGTTAAGCCATCCGACTATCGAACATTTAAAATCCACTATTCTGAATGAATGGCAACTACGATGGCAAAACGTAAATAAATACTTGTACAGTATAAAATTATATTATATTGGCTTAATTTTTATACTAAATAAAATGTGTTACGTTATTTTTGACCTGCCATTATATTTACTTAAATCCCATATCATCAATTAAACTTTTAATAAAGTTTTCCTAATTATAATTAACATTAATTTTAAACTAAAGCTTTTTCATCTTGAATGAGATTTACGAAATAACTTATGAGAAACAATAATAAAAAGAGGCTCTGATATCTGAATAATCAATAATAAAACCACATATTGACTTACTTTTATACCAAATAAATGTAGGTATGAAGTTATTTTAAAGCTGCATTATATTTATTTTAAACCCATCACCAATTATTACTTTAAATAAAATTTGTCTTAATTATAATTACCATTAATTTTAAGCTAAAACGATAAGAATATTTTTTCGTCGTCTTGAATGACATTTGCGAAATAACTTATGAGAAACAATAAAAAAAGGGCCTAGTCTATTGCTGCTGAATAAAAATCTGTAATTTATTTCATGCAACATGAAAATAAAATTGTATTTTTTTTAAACCCGCGACTTCGCGTTTGCTTCACGTCAAATATTTATGTCTTGAATAATCTGTTCTAAAATGTTCGGCGCATGTCTTAAATTTTAGAATCTTGCTACAGCAGCGCCATCCTAATTCTTCCCTTTTTTTGACCATTTTTTAATACACGGAGTTATTTCTCCTTACCTCTACACTCCATAGTAAAGTCCTAACGCCTTTAACCACGCGGCCACCGAGGACTTGAAAGATTCTATGTAAAATTCTTACTTAAAAAATAATGTTTAGTGAAAGTACTTTTTATTTATAAACATTTATTTAATTCTGTTTTTAGTATTTGTTTTTATAGCGGCAACATAGATACATTATCTGTAAAAATTTCAACTGTCTAGCTATAACGGTTCATAAGATAGACCTTTGTGACAGACGGACGGACGGACAGCGAAGTCTTAGTAATAGGGTTCCCCTTTTTACCCTTTGGGTACGAAACCCTAAAAAATAATGGACAGGTTATATGAAAAACCCTTTATCAATCATATCATCTTAACTAGCTGACTTGCTCC